ACTGGGACAGGATGGCTGGAAGAGCTGCTTTTGCAGGGAAAGCCTTGTCTGCGTCGCACCTGGGCTATGGCCGAGATGCCCGGAGACGCCGAGGTGCCCACTGCAGCCTGGAGAGTTATGTTGTGGATACTCGTGTGTGCATCCTCGTTGGCAGGCCGTAAAACTGAGGGTTCAAACCAGGACACTTCTGAGAGGGAAGGGACACTTTCTTAACAATTATGCCAGGACAGTGGCTCCTCAGACTGGCACTGCCCCAGGCAGGCAGGGACAATGGTCTTTCTCTAATTTACTTCACTTAGTATAATAATCTCAAGGTCCATCCATGTTGCTGCAAATGGCATTATTTCATTCTTTTTTATGGCTGAGTAAGATTCCATTGTATATGAAACAAGCTGAGGTTACCCAAGGGGAAAGGCGGGGGGGCGGTGGAGGGATGAGTTAAGAGTTTGGGATTAACATATACATGTTACTATATATAAACAGATAAACAAAAAGGACCTACTATATAGCACAGGGAATATCTTGTAACAACCTATAATCTGTAAAAGAACACACACACACACACACACACATATGTGTGTGTATAACTGAATCACTTTTCTGTACACCTGAAACTAACACAAGACTGTAAATCAACTATACTTCAATTTAAAAAAAGAATTGGCTAGTCTAGAAATGCAAATGCAATTTGGGAGAAAAAGAAAAGAAAGGCGAGAAAGACACCTGGAGTCACCTCTACGGATTCTGCTAAATTGCAAATAATGCAGAAGATTTCTGGGCTGAATAGAAATCACTGGGCAGCTTCTGTTTCTATCTAAGAACAGATCAAAATGGACTTTATATTCCAATGAATGCCTTAGAATTCAATTAAAAATCAGAAAGAGATGCTTGCTCCACTTAAATCTAAATGCACCTTATGCATAATTTCAAACAAAGCTCAGAGTAAGCTGATGCTTGCAAAAATGCTGAGAGCCCCCTGCTGCAAACAAAGTAAGGAGAAAGCAGCCCCCCTTGCAGGATGTTATGCCCCCAGATGACTGAGAGGGGGCAGAGTTGTGCAGCCCTCAGCTGCCCTAGATCTGGAGGGCAGAGAAGGTCCAGGCTTCTGAGATGGAAGACGGGGTACGGGGCAGTGGGACAGGCATTAGAGTGACTCCAGTCAGTGCGGCAGAGCTGGCCCAGGGCTTGTCGGACAAGGTACTGGCTGGGAGAGTGGGGGGCCACGCCACTGAGCCTGGGGCTCCGTCTGAATATGTGGTGCTGCTTAATTATCAGGGGTGGGGAGGATGCCTTGGGCCCCTATGCCATGCACAGAAGTTCCTGGGAATGAGTTAGTCCACTCAGTCACCTTGTAGAAATTGTGAACAGAAGTCAGAAAAGCATCAAAACTCTATCTTCAAAATAAGGGGATGGCAGATTCCAGAGCCTATATCCAGGAGAGTATGGCAGTGGTCCCCAGTCCAAGTCCAGATGTATGAACATCAGTAATAAAGACATCTCGTGCACTTTAAAAGCTTTATCCACGTCATCTCCTTCGAGCCTGTCAGCAGTTCCTGGGATAGGTGCTGGGGTGACCCCCATTTAAAGAGGGGAAAATGAGGGTGGGGGGGTATGCTTCAGTCCACCCAGCTGGGAAGTGGCAGGGCCAATATTTGAACCTGGCACTGTTGGAAGCCAAAGCTGATGGCTTCAACCATTCTGCCACATACTGCCTTTTAGAACAAAATGGGCTCATTAATAAGCCGGAGCAGGTTAGCCCCAAGTCCATTAGCACCCCTGAATCGGAATGAATCAATCCCAGAAGAACCCAAGACTGAGCGGCCAGCAAGGCTGGAGAGATGTGGGGTCTAAGTCACAGACCCCAAAGCAATGAGAGGTGAGGAGAGCTGTGTCGGGACTCAGACCACTCCCCAGGTGGGGTCTGTAAGGTGGGGAGGGCTCTGTGGTGGGGAGGGGCAGAGTGTGGCTTCAGCCATCCATCATCCACCCATCCTCCATCCATCCAGCCTCATCCACCCATCCACCCATCCTCCATCCACCCGTCATCCTCCATCCATCAACCACCCATCAGCTGTCCATTATCATCCTCCATCCAGCCATTCATAGACCCATCATCCATCACCCATATCATTCATCCATCCCTCCTCCAACCATCCATCCATCCATCCATCATCCACTCATACTCTGTCCACCCATCCATCATCCTCCATCCATGCATCCTCTGCCTATCCATCCATCATCCTCCATCCATCCTGCTATCATCCTCTGTTCTGTCTTCAAAGAGTAGCTAAATGTAAGGCATCATAAGAAATAACGTAAGATTTGACAAAATGGAAAATTATTGGTAATTGTGGAAGCTGGGGGATAAGTACACAGTCATTACACTCCTGTCTCCACTTCTGTAGGAAGATTTCCACTGGAAGAGGTAAAAGGTAGATGAGGAGTTGTAGGTGGGGATCAGGAGCTGTAGTCTCAAGGTTCACCCTAACTCTTTCCAAGCTCTCGGAGAGCAGGAACTTCAGGCCTGCAGAGCCTAGGGGCACCCAGCATTAGCTCAAAGCAATGTAAAAATGCTGCTTCTAGAAGAAACTGCTTCTACTAGAACTTAGGAAAAGCACAATTTCTGGTGGTGACCGCCGTTTGTTATCAGGCAGCAAGTAACATGCAGAAGATGACAGAGAAAGTCTGAGGACGGGTCTGGAAGGTGAAAGGCAGGGAGGGCTGGGGACCCGCCCGCCTAACTGAACAGCCCCCTCCCCCCAGCAACCAGCGCGCTTCTGCCTTCAACTTTGTTCTCAAGCCACCTTCACAGAGCACCGAACACGCCGACTGGCTGGCTGGGTACCAAGGTCACAGCTAGTGAGGTCTGGATCTCAAAGACAACCACCATGTGATCGTAAAGAACCATATGTTTAATGTTTCACAGAACAAACTTGTTCTTCGCCATTCAGTTCATTATGAACTTGAATCACTGTAACCATCAAGTCTATAATCCAATTTAAGCCCCAGGTGACAACAACTCTTATATCCAGTGATTTAAATTAGCACAGTTTGTGCAAAGTCACAAACCTTTTTATACATTCATGAACACTGAAATTAAACTAGTGAAACGTAGAGCATCCCTTGACCCATTTGCAGTGAGTGGAGAGAAATGGCTAAAGTGACCACGGCTGAATTATGTTCTAAGCTCAAAGGAAAATCTCATCTGGGCTGTCTGCCCGGGTCCCAGTGAGGCTGACCCATCCACCCTGGGACGGGCACTGACAGAGGCTCTACAGGTTCTGAAGACTGTCCCAGGGCAGGGAGCCAGGCCAAAAGCCACGATGGAATCTTCTGGAGAGAGCCCCATGTCCCCACCCAGCCTGCATCCCCCAGCACCCACCACCACCACCCTGCTTCAGGTCCCACACCATCCCTTGTTTGCAATCAAAGTCAGGGCATGGCCGCTGGGTGTGACCCTGCCGCAGGCCAGAGACCACAGTTTAACTCTGCTTTACTCTAATAGCTCCTTTGGATACATGACCCTGCCCCCGATCATCCAGAAAATTATCCTTTTCCCAGCTGGGGTGTCTGCTTTGGGAAAGGGTACATTAGAGTTTGCTGTTCTTCTGAAATTGGGCTACCAAGCTGAGGACCTGCTCTGAAGCCTTGATGTTCTTGGAGCCGAGGTAGGCAGTGCTGTTGGCGGCTGTCTGGTCCAGGAAGTAGCGGTAATTGACCATGAGGCTGCACGAGCCGGTGATGCCCCTGAGGCTGACGTCTGCCATCCAGTTGATGCGCCACATCACGGCGCCGTTCTGCAGGTGGAAGTTGGCCACAGGGTTCAGGGCGTAGCCTCGGTGCTTCTCTCCGTACAGGTACCAGGCGCAGAGCCTCATCAAGGGGGCCTGCAGCGCCCGGACCAGCCTCTCGGACTTCACCCACTCGCTGCTGCTCAGGAAGGCCTTGAGAGTCTCGTGAACGGGGCCCCCTGTGATCTCAGAGATTTCCTTACACTCAGAATCGGTGAACAGTTCGCTCCTCCCGTGCTCCTTGGCTTTCGACTTCAGGAGCCCCAGGAGCCATTTGGTGAATCCGGGGATAGGAGACAGACTTGAAAACGTCCCAAGGTGAGGAAACTCTTTCTGGAAGGCACAGTTTGGGTGGGGAAAGGAAGGCGGAGAAAACACACAAAATTCAGCAGGTCAGTCGCTGATGCAGAAAGACCTCCTCATTTATGGTTTATGTATCACTGACCTCTGCGTGTGACTGTATGGTTTACAAGGTGGTATTTGATGCACATGAACTTTCTTCTCTCAAAGAACATTTATTAAGAATCTGATGTGTGCTGGGTCCTGGAGGCCTCTTGAATCCCCAGGACAAGCCTTTATGATGGTGTCTCCATCTGCACCACTGTTCACGCTGGCAAGTTGGGGGACTTGCCTGAAATTGGATTGGCAGGGCGGCTGCAATGTGGGATGCCATCTTATGACTACAGGGCTTGTCTTCCTAGCATACCAGGCCCCTCCATGGGCTTTGCTGCAGCCACAGAACCTGCTCTCATGCTTGGCGCAAAAGTACCCAATAACTGTTTGTTGAATGAATAACTGATTGCCCAAACAGACCACAGTGAGGGCAGAGGATGGCATAGAAGGGGAGGCAACGAGTGTTTCTCCACATCAGATACTATAGCTCAATCATTTTTGTTCAAACTACAGATTGATCTCAATGACTATTATAAAAAAATCCAGCGTTTTCCAATTAAAAATGTAATATATGCTCACTATAGAAAATTTTTTAAAGAATTTATGACAGATGCAAAGAAACCATCATCCTCTGCTGCTCTGAGATAAGTACTCTCCAGGCTTGATAGAGTGTAACTCCTTCTGGTCTTTCTCTAGGTAGTTTTTATAAGGGTAGACAGTTATTTTACACCCTGCTTTATGAATTTATATCATGAGCATTTTCTCATTATCACTCAAAATTCAAAACCATAACTTGAACAACAGAATAATAGGAAAAGATAAGATGATCTCATGATTTTCCTAACCCTGGTCTTTTCATTGGGCATTGAAGGGGGCTTTTACAAACCCCTGTGAACACCTCTGTGCAGAATAGCCTCCTTCCAGATTTCTCTGGTGACTTTTCCGCTCAGCCCTGCGTGTAGAAGCGGTCAGCCATCAGGATGGCTCCAGGGCCACCTGATTCAGAAACAGAGTCTGTGGGTGAGTCACCCTGAGCCCAGGTTCTGCTCTTCCTTTCACTGATCCTCACTGCGCCCCCCTCTCTGCCTCATTCATTAACACCTGCAGCGAAGACGCAGGAAGTAAGAAGAAATTCAGTGTAATCACCACCTCTGGGGACAAAAGGGCAGGGAGTGACTGATGGAGCTGATACCCCACTGAGTCCCGAGTTCTTGGATGTCAAATCAGGAATTTAACACGAGGCACGTCCATGTTTTAATTCCACCCTCTTTGTTTTTCTCTGAGGAAGAGCTTCTGCAGCGTCCGTCTCCGTTAAAACCACCAGGAGCAGAGACCACTGCTCTCAGAGCCAACTATTAACAATCTAATTACTTCCCCTAAACACTAGATTCTCCTCATTCCAGTGCACCCCAGCCCCTCAGGATAGTTTGAAAAAGCCTTGACCCAGAGCGGACATGAACACTCTGCTGCAGGATGGGCAAAGTGTGTTTTTCAGGACAACCAAGAGAAGGTAGTTATAAAAAACATAGTGCCACTGCATTCACTCTCAGGCTGCCTGGTCTAACCTCGACACTCTGTCTCGGACCCTGAGGAAGCCTGGGCTGGTGGGCACAGGGCCCAGAGGGTGTGGGCGAGGGTGGCTGGGGGTGGTCAGGTGCAGCAGGGACTGGACAGCAGGAGTGAAGGGGGCCCTGCAGGGGACACTGACAGGACAAGCTGTGTCAGTCAGAAGCGGCCCCGCCAGCCAAAGTGCAGTGCTGTTCTCAGGACACACCTGCGTTTTGGGGTCAATGAGAAGCTAGTGCCAGGGCCTTTTTCTTGGCACTGCTTCTATCTCCAAGGAGCCCCAGGGCTCCCAGGAAGTGTCCCAAGGCATCTGGCATGACCACTCCAGCTCCCTTGAGCCCAGAGCTTCATCCCGTCCCCAAAAATGACGGCAGGGCTCCTCGGCCATCCTAAGACTGGGATACAGACTGCACCTCACTCACCTGCAGCTCCTTGACCACCCGCTTGATGAGGAAGGTGCCCAGCTCCACGCCCTGCAGCCCCTGCTGGGTCAGGCTGATGGAGTAGAAGATGGCTGTGGTGATCCTGTTCTGCTCCTCAGTTTCCGACAGGGGACACTCCTTCACAATGATCGCCTGGAAAACATGGACGGTGGTAATGTGCTTGTCACTGGCAGTGGATGCATCCCCACCGCCCTCACTCCTCCCCGGGCTGGAGAGAGGGTCTCCCTGGACTCAGGGGCCCTAGAGACTCAGCGCCCTCTTCTGTTCTGCGATCTCTCTGCGGCGGCAATCTCACCACGTCCCTGGGCTGGCTGCTCCTGTTGTAACATTTCCATCAATTCGAATTCCCGAGCAAACTCCGCTGAACTGCAACTCAGGTCCCCTTGGTCTTTCTCAGGACTTTGTACAAACTCCCGACCTCTGACATCCAGAGACGACACATCAGCCCCTGTCACAGCCAAGAGGCTCCACTTCTCGTGGCTCCTGAGCGGAGGCCCAACATCCTGTCCCCACGGTGGCTTCACTCCATGACTCTGAAATCTAGCTGTTGAGATTTCTCACTGGGCTGTGTGCCACCCTGCGTAACTTTTCTCTTAGGAAATTTATCTTCTCATGCCTTTCCTAGGCACCTTCTTGGTTCTGTACCACATCCCTGTTTTTTGCAGTGAAACCACACATCTGCACAGACATGTGCGGGAAGCGATCTGAGAATGAGAACGACCAGTACCGGGAAGTCCCTTGGCCAAGTCCCACTTGATTAGCCCTGAGATGTGAGTGAAGGACGTTCTGAGCCTCAGTGCGGGGAGGGCCACTGGACAACAGTGGGACAGCGGTGGTGACCTTTGGTTTGCTTGGACGCAGAAACACCAGCCTGCTTCTGAAGAGCCTGCTTCAGCTGCTCTAACTTCCACTGGCTACACAGGACGCTTGAAGTGGGGGTTTTTGGTCCTGCACCCAGGCTGAGGTCTGGAGCCCACAGACTTTCTGAAATTGCACATGGGATGGGCGGGTCTGAGCATATCCACCTGGGGAAAGTGTCCTGGGCTCTGGTCCCTTCAGACGCTCACAGGGTCTCTTCTGTGACTCCTGGGAAGTCACGAACTGCTGCCATTAAGGAAAGTGGGCAGTCGGTGACACAGGGGCCACAACACCCAGGGCCACACCAGGCCTTCTCTGGCACTGCAGCTGACGGAGGAACTCTGAGGTCAAAGGTCAGAGCTCTCCGCCCATCACTCTCAGCCTTCATCTTGCTGAATTACCTCCTTTGTTTTGCAAGAAGTCTGGAGGTTACCTTGTGGTTTCTGATTCAAAAATTCCTAGCAAATCTTTTTTTTAAAGTTTTCAACACCCCCTCCCAAACAAACGAATCTTTCCTTAATTATACAAATGAGATGTGCATAATGCCAAAGAGGCAAGAAATGAGTGCATAAAGGAGAAATCACAAATTACTCCAAAACTAAACCCCTGGTCCTGCTCTTAAGCTTTTGGTGAACACCTTTCCAGGTCTGTCTCATTGGCTGTAGGCAAGTACACACTTAAATACACACACAACACACAAAACCATGTACAGACACAATCTCTCATGTGTCCAGGTGCTCAAGTCTCCAAAGAGTAGAATTTTTAGGTCAAAAGCACGTTTTATATTTTAATGGCTGTCATCAAACTGCCCCGGGAGATGCAGTAATAATTTCTAGTGAGTGATTGTGCTGGCGCCTCCAAACACAAACATCGACTAGGAGAAGCTCTCTGCGGACCAAGAACACCCGCCCAGCCCAGCAGCTCTGCTGACTTCTCCACCCTCGGATGCCAGGAGACGCTGCCCAGCACCCACCTGTGACCCATGATCACCTTTCCAGCTTCCAGAAGCTAAGGTGATCTGGTATCTCCACTTCCCCTTGCTGGCCTTTACTCTTATTGGACCTGCTCTCCTCCCCAACCCTGCTGCTCTGGCTCCTGTCTCGGCCCCTGTGCGCCTGCCCAAGTCGATGTTTCCAACACTCACCAACTTCTCAGGGAGAGGCCAAGCTCACTGCAGGCGGGTCCATCCCACCAGACAGAGCACCCGCCCACATAAGGCACACGGGCACCGTCTACTCTCCAATTTTCCACTCGTGTGTCTTTTGAAACTACCCTTGGGCACTTGACAGAAGCTGAAGAGTGGAGCCACGCACCCCTGCACCTCTTCACTGTCCCCTGCAACAGCCTCATGCCTGTCCCACTCACAGTCCACAAGCCTGGTGGGAGCTTTCCTCGCCCCACCCCTGCCACACACCACTTGTCTACGCCCCATAGCTGCAGATTTGGAGGTTGTATCGAGCCAATTCCAAGATCCACAAAATCTGAAGGCAGGTTATTTTACAGAAGGGAAGAAAACTAAGTTCCTCCAAAACTTAGGACTCTGGGACGTCCGCCCCACCCTGAACCGACCGTGCGTGCGGGGTACCTGGATGCTGCTGGAGATCTCGCTGGTCAGTGCCACGTGCAGAACGATCAGGGGCTCCCCAGGGGTGGAGCAGTGAGAGAAGAAGTAACACCTCCTGTAGGGCCCGACGCGGCGCTTCATGTCCATCCAGGTTTTCACGGGGTGCACAGCCTCAGACCTGATGAGAACGTTGGAAAGAGGCGAGACAAACATTAAATAACTGTGGCTGATTCTGACTCACTCTTCACTCAAGGCAAAGAAATCCTCAAGCTTCGATGGACTCTGGGAAATTCAAAGAAAATCATGTTCGTGTGAAACGGCACTGCCCGAGAGGAACCACCATTAGTGACCATTTTACACACCAATCTGTGCTCTAAAGCCTGGACTAGTTTGCGAGGCCCTTCGGGGGAGGTTATGCAGCAGCTCTTAACGCAGGAACCTAACCAGATGCTCGTCTTTGTCCGTCCTATGTCTTGTTTCCTCTGAATCTCTGCAGTCTGAAGTCAGGGCTGCCACCAGACACGCGTCGCCTGGCTGGTTCCATCTGTCCAGATGCTCAGCCCCCTGCTGTTCTGTCTCCACACGTAACGTAACGGCAGCACCATTGGCTCCTCGCATCTGTGATGCTGCGACAGTTCCCAAGCCTTAGGTTGCAGGAGACGATGCGGACTGAGGAGCTCTTGGGGGGGAAGAGCTCCTCCTGTGGGCGAGGACCACCGTGTCAGCCGGCCTGCATTTCACTCTGGCCGGGGCAGGATGGACTCATGCCCAATATTGTTAATTTAGAGATTTTTATCTAAGGTAGAAATTTCAACAACTGGATGAGATAGATGCTGTCTGCGTTACTGACGCAAATTACTGGTCCAGTGAATCTGTGCCGCTCTGGTAATGCGGTCTTGAGAAAAGGGGGAACCGTGTGCTTTAAATATGAGGACAGAACTGAGACCCCACATGTCGGTTTTTTTTAATTGAAGTGTAATCAGCTTACAATGTTGTGCCAATTTCTGGTGTACAGCATAATATTTCAGTCATACATCTACATACATATATTCCTTTTCATATTTTTTTTCATTATAGGTTACTGCAAGATATTGCATATAAGATCCCTGTGCTGTACAGTAGGATCTTGTTTACCTATTTTATATATAGTAGTCAGTATCTGCAACTCCCAAACTCACAATTTATCCCTTCCCACACCTCCCCCGGCCTCGTAAGCATAAGTTTGTTTTCTATGTCTCTGAGTCCGTTTCTGTTTTTAAAAACCACATGTGGGCTTACTGGCAGAACAATCGGTTTCTGTCTGGGTCCTTCCTTCCGCCATGGTCTCGACATTACCTGCTAGGACAGTCACCTTTGTGATACTGTGTTTGGGTTTCTTTAGCTTTGGAGGGAAATGTACACAGTATTGGAGACTGGCTTTGAGCTAAGATTTAGGAAAAGTGGGAACCTAATACTTACTCACTGATTTTCTGGAGCACTTCGCACGGCGAATGCCAGGTGACCCGCTCCAATTTCAGGAACCCAGAAGAAAACCATTCTGAGAGCATGTTTTTCAGCACCCCGTTCATTTCCTGAAAAGGAGAGGAGAAAGTGCCGGCCTTCTGAGGGAAAGAGACCAGGCCCATCCCTGCGTCACTGCCAGCGCCGGGAGTTACACACCAGGACGTGATATGAAAGCTGAGTCTGCAAACGGCTTGCTCTGAGACAGCCCTGCTGAACGCTCATCTCAGCCACCTCAGACTGGACTCAGTTCTACTTCTCTGCTCCTTCCAACTGTAAGACACCTGAAGGGGAGTGTTTCACCTGAACTAAGCTGCCCAGATCAAACTATGTTCCAATTCATTTACCGCAGGGAATGCAACTAAACACAGGACGTTATCTGACGCTGAATGGTGTGTTGTGGAGGAAATGCTAACACCCTCTCAGGCACAGCCTGTGATTTCATCAAAACAGCCTCCCTCGTTTCCTAAGAGAAACAAGTACTGGGTCCAGGTACCACATCTTGTCAACTCTTAAGATGTGCATTTTCCTATTTTAACATCTCTTAAGTCAGGAAGCAGTTTTCAAAAGATGGCAGGTCACAGTTTAATCAGTAGGTTTTTTTTTTAGGCTCGTGGGCCATCAAATAATAGTCTATCTGGCCATCCATGCATTTAGATTTGATGAGATATTCACCTCGCTTGTTTATACCCAGTGTACTTTCAAAAATGATTTGACTCAACTTTACCCAGATAGATTTGCACTGAAACTTTTCAAGCAACAATAGAACAAGAGATATGTAAGGAAGGGAGAGGATGCAGGAGCAGAACCATCCTAGCTGAGCCCACTGTGACTGCTGCCCGTGTAACGGTGGTAAGCTCTGTAACAGCCAGAATGGAGAGGATGCCCAGAGCAGGAGACATGGCTTGTTGTTCCTCAATAGCTGTGTCCCTTCCTTCCAAATGAAGAGAAGCCTCACTTGTTAGCTAGGCACATGGCTATTCAGAATAAAGTGTGCACTGCAGCTAGTGGAGGCACATGACCCAGTTCTGGCTAATCATATATAAGCAGAGGTGTCCTGCTATGGGGAACCTTGAAAGATGGCAGGAGCAGCCCTTTGTCCATCTTTTTCTTTGTTCTTTCCACTGCAGGCTGGAACATGATGTGCTGGCTAGAGCTGGAGCAGCCATTTTGGGCCATGAGGTAATCTTGGGAATGAAAGTTTTTCAGGGAAGAGCAACAGACAGAAGTCCGTGTCAACTGAGGACACTACCGAGCAGGATCAGCCCTAGGCTGCCTACCTCCAGACTTCTATGTGAAAGACAAAAATCCTCTCTTATTCAAACCACTCTTATTTTGAGTCTCTGTTACTCATAGATGAACTACATACTAACAGATACACTGAATATTATTACTGGGTAATAGTAAGCATCTCAATATGTCTGGTACAGAATTGACCTTATGAATCTCTACAGAAATCACAAAGACCACGATGGACAACACCTGTAAAACTGCACAAAAGCTGTAAAACTGTTAGAGGGCCATCTCACATTTTAGTCCCTGGTAAAAGGTGAAAGGATCAGAACTCTGTCACTCGAGGCTAAGTTGCAGGCATAGGGTTACTGCTTCAAGAAAAGTTTCAGAATGAAGCGAGATCCATCTTTAAACACTGATGGCCTGGGACACGGAAGAGGTCACACATTTGTTCTGTGAGGCCCCACTGGGTAAGGAGGTGGGTAAATCTAGGATCAACTTGGGGAAGGCACAGTCAGACTTAATGTGAAGAACTTCTGAGTACTTCAGGCTGCCCTCAGGGAGACATGGCCCTTGGCCATGGGAAGTCATGGAGCAGGGGTCTGCATGAACATGGTGGAGATGCTTTAAAAAGTATTTACATGCCTACAGGTGACTGGGCCAGATGACCTATGTAACTACCCTGAAGTCTGTATCCCGTCGCTAGGTCTCCTTCACTGGGCTCTGAACTCTAAGGACAGAGGTAATTTCTGATTCATCTCCCCATTCTCAAAGCATTCAGTGGGCTCTTCCATGTGGGAGATGATTAACAGATTGATAGCAAATGAAAAAGAGAAGAAAAACTGGAGAACAGTGACCCAGCAGTAGCAGGGAGGGAGGAGGGGTGGCGTGTGCCGGGCAATACACCACGGCTCTTTCTCAATCTGCATTTACGCATTTGACTACGTGGGTCTTAACCTTCCTTGGGGGGGGGGCTCACATACTCTTGGGGATGTGATCAAGACCATGCACCCTATCTCCAGGAAAAAGCAAACACATCCGTAAAATTCTGCATACAATTTCCTGCAGCTCACAGATGCCTTTGACACTCATCTGTAGCTCCTCCCCAGGGGTTTTTGGACCCCAGGTTGGGAACTTCTGCATGGAAAGGTTGGGAACGGATTATCCGCATTCCACGTAGGATGTGCTGGCGTCTCTACTACACGCATAACAGGAAAAAGCTGGAAAGGTCTAGCTTCGGCCTGAATTCAGAACTAATTATGAAAGAAAGGGTTTGGCTGGTGAAAGCACCGCCTCTCCAAGTCCCCTCGTTCTATTTTGGGCTCCTGTGACACTGGACACGAGAACTGGGAATCTAGGTTAAAGGTGACACATCTCCACTGCTCAGTGCTAAGAGGACCGCAGCTGTTCAGGCTGGAATTGAGCACCGAAGGCACAAGGTTGCTGGACCCCAGACAGCAGGAGGGAGAGAGATGGCGTAGGCTTTGTGCTCAGTAATCCAGCCATCATTTATCGGCAATCCAGGACACAGAAATACAACTGCCAACACAACCTTCCTATCTATGAATAAGTTTTTATCAGTTGAGCTAAGCGCAGAATTTGGCAGAACCCCGAGACCACTAGGTTAACTTAAAAACAGGCCGAGCCACCAGAGGTTGTTCCACACAGCGCTGCACAGGCTGCGCACTGCAACGGTGGGGTGTGGACCATGTCTGACACGAGTCTGGTCCCTTTCCTCATGTTCCGCCTGGGCTTCTGTTAAGGCTCCCAGACCTCTCATCTGACTGTAATTTATATGTTCAAATCGCCCATCATTTCCTAAGTGCCAGCTCCCCTCTGCTGCCCACACATCGCTGACAGTGCCCAGACCTTCTAGAATGGGAGTCCACGTGGTTTCCCTGAGGATTTTCTAAGAAACTTAACTCTTCAACCCCAATGGGCCTTTGGAAATAACTCTGCAGAAAAACAAAAAGTCTGTAAGCTGCACATCCTGCCTCAGGAGCAGAGATAGACAGGGGACTTCAAGTTCACAGGGCGGTTCCCTCAGGAGGACAGTGGTGAATTCATGCTCCTGAGCCCAGCGCCCTCACTTCCCCACATCAGGGAAGAACATGCAGATCCGGACTTCCTGCTACCAAAAGGCCACATGCTTGATAATAAGCCTCTAAACTCACATGGAACTCTGACAGAGGAAAAGAGCATTTTAAACAAAAAGTACATTTTATCTCGTGACCAAAGGGATTGTTTCTTTTCCTGGTGTGACTGAGCTGCTTTATGGATCTGATATCACCCCCTCTACACACATACAGACACACACACACACACACACACACACACACAGGATGACTGATTTATTGCTCCATTTCCTACAGTTAAAACTGAGGAGGGAGCCGTATCCAGTGATTAGAGAAGTCAAGGACACTGTCAAGTACCTTTTCTACAAATTCCTTAATTATGAAAACAACTAAAATCCCTTTCTTGGAATCAATCCATTAAGATGAATTCACTTAGTATAATCCAAGAAGTTCTACAAAACAGCACCAGGTGGACACAGCCCGGGGGTGGAGACTTGGGATGAATCAGAAAGTCCCAGGCTTTCCTCTGAGACACTCGGCCTCTAACGACCTTGTAATTAACAGGGGGTGACGTCCACCTTCTCCGCGCTGGACCTGCTATCTTGAAAGACATGCTACACATTTGACCACTGCCAGGAGGTCACAACTTTCAACACAGCACTTGTGTCTTCCCAGCAAAGAGACCTGATACTGACTCTGAACTTCCTATCAAAAAGGATAGAGAGTTCCCTTATTTTTTAGGAAGAGAAAAGAAACCTTATCTGATTTTAAACGTCCAAGGAAAGAGACCCCTGCCTGGCCTCTGGCCTCGGGCTTCAGACCTGTCTACACTCAAATGGAAACGTCCGGCTTCTGGGTTCTCCCCGTATTTCCAATAACCATGGCCCGGGGTCAGAAAGGCTGATCTTGACAAACTTTGTCCTTGTTTGTAACCCTATTTTTAGCAAAGCTCCACGACATCCCTTGGGCAGACGGACCACTGGCTGGGTCTCTCACCTCAGCGCAGAGACCACTGGCCAAGGACTGTTAAGGGACGGGGCTGCAATCACCTCAAATCACATCTCTAACCAGCGGATGGCAAAGACAGCACCGGGGACCGGCCCTTCCTTCCCCACCCCGGTGCGTCGTTCACTGGACCCACTGTCCTGTACAAGGACACCCCATCGGCATTCTTGGCCTCATATCTGCCGATTATTCTAAAAGAGCCTTCACGCTCACAAGATGCAGTAAATAAGAACCTGGGAGGGGAGCCAGTGGACCAAGGCCATTCATTCCAAGGCAACAACACCCAGGGCTGAACCCCAGACAACTCCCTTGTGAGCCAGCGCACGTCCACCTGACATCACCTGGCAGCTCCGATGGTCAGCAGGGGCCAGGGACAAGCGCACCTGTGTGATGTGGTGCTTTGTGCACAGTAAGAGGTGATAGAACTGATGCTCCCTGCCTCCCCTGCCTCCCGGTACACTATAGGTTCTAGGTCTGGGGTGTCTGGGGCTCTCGCTCTAAAGCTTTGAGGACCAGACTCCTGGTGGTTTCCAACACTGAATTCCTAAAAGCATAAAGTTCTAGCTGCGTTGCCTCTTTAACTTGGATGCAAAATCCAGAGAGCAACAGAAGAAACGGGATAAAGGTGGACCACACACATGAAGTGATTCTGGTGGTAAATTACAACCTCAGATTCCAGGGGCAATCTCTGTGGATTAAAAAAAATCCAATTCTCTGAATGATCTGAATGATAGAGATTAAAAAACAAATCCTCATAGCCACATAGGGCAAAGGGGAAGGGAACCAACAGATTTAGCCACTAACGGTTCTAGGCCCTTGGGATAAGGATGCTATTTCTAGAAAAAGAAATGGAAGAGGTCTGATGGCAACACCAGAAAAAGCTTCTGCACCCAGTATGTCCAGGTCACGTGCAGAGGCTGAGGTCAAGCCACTGTCACTCACCCTCTGCTCATTCCACGTGACTTTTGGTCTGTCGGTCCGTGACGGTTTTTCCCTTATGTGTGTGGACAGCCTTCACTAAAAAGGGAGGGAACGCTGGACACCTGAGGACCTGACACCTCTGGATTCCCCTGGGATCGGCTCCTCCCCCAAATCAAGTCTCAACGTCACAGCTTTCGGTTCCCCCAAGGTTCCTTCTCAACTGCACCATAACTACTTTTCTCATGTGGGGAGGAGCAAGGAAACAAGTCACTAACGACTCACAGATTAGGAGGACTGAGGCCCAGATGGGACAGAAGGAATCGCCCAGGCAAGTGCAGCCTGAAGGCCTGATGGGATCTCTCTCGGCAGTGCGGAAACCTTTCATGGCCTCTGGGCTTTGTTCCAGGCTCGGAACCCTGAGCGGAGCAGTCTGACTTCAGGACAGATGGGAATGGCTAGCTGCCGACTCTGCAGCTGGGTGGTGGGGCACCTGGGAGTCCATCTCCTGCTTCATTCATCACTTTGCTACGCAAGAAATTTAAGACAACGTCCTGGTTTTCAGGGGGCTGATCATCTAGTTTCAGGGGAACAACACGTTTCAAATGCTGAATTCTGTGGTTAATGTACACAATCCCACTCAGGGGTACAGACAATAACATCGATGAAGCTCAAAACTGGGTGAGACCACCTGGAGCTGGAGCGGTTGGAAAAGCCCAGCACATTAGCTAGGGGTGGACAGAGCTCTTATTCTTATGGGAATCACACCGGGATGTGGGTTTGGGAACTTCACCCAGGAGCCAGCGTGGCTGGAGAGCAGGGCCCGCAGAAGGAAGTAATGCTGGGAAAGCTGGGATATCTCAGATGGTTGCAAAAATGGCAAAGGAAAGACAATGAACGTGATCCTTTTGGCCATGTGAGGGTTGATGATTTTCAACAGAAGAGTAGAGACTGACCTGTGGTTTCAGAGAAAGATAGGAGCTGAGGTTGCTGACGAGACAGAAGCTTGTACAAAGTCTTGGAAAGATACATATAATCATAACTGGAGAATACTGAACTCAGTGAAACTAAACAAAACAAAGCATTACTCAACTGGGTTGTTCTACCTTTCCTTCAGTTTTACAGAAAAAGGCAAATCCTAAGAGAACAAACCCACTTTCGATCTAGTTAGGTCACTGGCTCCGTGGAGGCGGGGCTCTCTCACCAGCTCTAATCACTTTCTCTGTCAGACAGTCCCTAAGTCTTGCTGAGGATGAAATGAGCAAGTGCATAAAAGGCACTTACACCTAGCAAGCCTGCTCCTAACTCTTCCCATTGTAGAAGGGAAGTTTCTGGACCCAGGGGCCCCGGAGCCTGGAGCATGCCTGGTATAAGATAAACACCCAACAACCACGGGTTGAATGGATGGACGGATGGGTAGAGGGTTTCATTTTGCAACAGGGGACAGACATCCTACCTAATTCTCAAGCCTCCTATGTGATGAGGATCAAGTTTCAGAAGGATTTCAGGAGCACTGGTCTCTGCTTCAAGGAGAAAAATGTCTACTTGGATTGCAGGCTAGACCCAAGACTCTCTTGAGAGGAACCAGGTGGGGTGGGTATGCACAGTGTGTGGAAGACAAGATCTCAGCCATCCAGACAGGGATTTAGCCGGGAACATGGGCAGTTCAACACAGACTCCAGGACTGATTTGGTGCCAGTGCCATCAACAATTGTGGGTTCTTAGCCTGCGAGTCTCATGGCCAAAGGTTTTTCAGCCCTAGGCAACTAAGCATTGTAGATTAACCAGCTGTTATGAGCAACCACATCACAGCCACTGTTATCAGCCTGAGATTAGTCCTATTAACTACACCCAATTTTATGCCTCTAAGGCCATG